AAACACTTTTTAAAGGAGTATTTACCAGAAATGTTATTTCCACAGAGTACAAAATAGTAAAAATGTATTTTTTTTTTTTTTTTAGTTAAATTAAACAAGAAAGCGCTAGTTCACACGTGGTTGCACCTGTAGCGAGCCTATTGGCTTGTGTACAAGTTTGTTCAAAGACAAAACAAAAAGAGTGAAAAAACACCACCACTGCACACAAGAGGAAGACATAAAAAAAACGTGCAAATCGAACACAAAAGCACACATGCATGCAAACTCACACAAGCCATTATGGATTGAACAATTAAAGTTGAATATTAAAACCACTCTAAAAATGTCCTTCTCGTATACCGTGGCCAGATCTTTTACGGGTCAGAAACGTCCGGTTCACCATGTTGTTTTGGCGTACACGGAGCTGTAGGTTTTGTCCACGAGCGGGCAGAATCTCTTGGTGTGCGCTTTGGCCCCGGTGGCTCCGCACAGGGGACACACGTACTGGCTCAAGTACGGGCACATCACGGCTCCGGCGCGGTCTTTTAAGTAGTGTGAGGTGAACACGGCTTCGGTCTCTCCGTTGTGTTTGCAGAAGCTGCAGAACTTCTTCTCGGATGGGCTGCTGCGGGTGCTTTTGCCGCGTTCCGGGTCTCTTTTCTCCGTCGTCAGGGTCCCGTGCGCTCGCGTCGGGCCGCTTGGAGACTCCAGGAGCACGGGGGCGGCGGCGGTGTCATCGGCCGCGTCAGGCTGCTCTGCTGGCCGTTGCATGCCTCTGATCATGTCCGCCAGACCCATGTAATCCTTCCAGGGCTGAAAGTCCTGATTTCTAGACTCCATAGATCCATGAGCCGACAAGAAGTAGCGGAGAAGAGAAAATGCCATGGCATTCGCCGAGTGCGACAGAAACGTGAAGCACGCGCTGAGCACGCGTGGGTTTTAAAGGGCGGACGTCACGGCAGGAGACCAATTAGGACACGAAGAGTTTGCCAAGTGTCCTCTGAAACCAAAACGATTGGTAGAGAAGATTGAAATAAAGCAAGAATACGTTTAAACTGTGGACTGGAGTTGCTAGTGTAACACCATATGGGGTAAGTTGTCACTATGAGAGCCCGCTGTTTATTGACACTGATTGGAGAAGACCGCTTTTTTGAAATATTGTAGGAAGTTAACAGTAGAACCTGTTAAACTGTATGTAAAATTGCAATAATAACAATATGGAGCAACTTGCTAAGTGTTTTATGAAAAATACTTCTAAGAACTCAGTTCAACCTTTCATTACGATCCTTATATTCTCATCTAATAGCATAAATATTATAGTGGAATTAATGTTCTTATTTTAAAGTATAAGTTCAATCAAATATGAACATTTGCTGCAAATGTAGTCACCCTCAGGCCATCCAAGGTGTAGATGGGTTTGTATCTTCATGAAAACAGATTTGAGAGAAATGTAGCATTACATCACTTGTTCACCAATCCTCTGCGGTGAATGGGTGCCATTCACTGGATGAAGTGTTATTATGAATTATGGACTCATATATTTTGGCCAGAAGTGATGTTTTAAAGGGGTCATATGATGCGATTTCAAGTTTTCCTTTCTCTTTGGAGTGTTACAAGCTGATTGTGCATAGATAAGATCCCTAAAGGCGTTACATTTCCGAGGTGTGCTTGTGGTGTTCGGCCAATCACAGTGCACTGGGTCAGCTGGCCAATCAGAGCGGACTGCGCTTGTCAAAGGAGGGGGCTTTGTAGAAAACGAAGCGTTTGAGAGAGGCGGGGCATAGAGGACCTACAATAATGTACAGTATTTGAAAAATAATGTGTTTTTTGAACATTAAAGCATGTCAACATATTCTGTTACACCAAATACACAAAATAATGATCTTTAAAATAGCATCATATGACCCCTTTAAGTTAAAATGAATTTGTTTTTTTTTTACAAACATGCAGCTTTTGACTTCACAAGACGTTAACTGATGGACTGGAGTGGTGTGGATTACTTGTGGATTATTGTGATGTTTTTATCAGCTGTTTGGAATCTCATTCTGACGGCACCCATTCACTGCAGAGGATCCACTGCTGAGCAAGTGATGCAATGCTACATTTCTGATGAAGAAACAAACTCATCTACATCTTAGATGGCCTGAGGGTGAATATATTTTCAACACATTGAAACCAACATTAAAAAAAAAAACCCCACTGAGAAGTATTTGTGGACTTCTGAGTGAAATATAGTACTGTAAACATCAGTTGCAATGTACAAAATAATAAATGCAATTATTGATCTGATGTGTGCATTCGTGAGAGATGTTAATATGTAAGAAATATAAAACATACAAGGTAATTCTATACATATGGGATACCTTTATTTCATTATTTTCAAAAATGTATCTTTGAAAACACTGATTCTTCACAAAAAAACAATATTTCCAGCTCATGAAACTGAAGTGTGTAAACTAAAAGGGCCAGTGCAAGTTGCGTTCATCAGGTGACTGAAGGAGCCGTTCTGACCTGAGACAGAAAATAACACTGTTGAGTCAACTGTGCACTGACATGAGTGGTGCATGAGGTACAGTGTCAGATATTAGACCTGTAGTATAGGGCAGTTTAAGAGCTGAGTACAGCTCAGGGGTGTTGGGGGTCATGACCATGTTCAAACGGGATCCTGGCGTGACCTCTGACCCCTCAGATGACGGTGTGGCACATGGAGACAGAGAGTGCTGCTTTGGTACGGCTGCACCTGCACACACAAACACAGCTGAATTACAGTGTGATATTAGTTCTGTAAACATGATCTCTGTGTGTTGTGTGTGTGTGTGTGTGTACGTAGGTCGCTGAGCGCTGTGCTTTTCTCTCCTGTTGCACTGCGAGGTTTTCTTGACAGGTGACAGACTGAAGAAGTCTGACTTCAAACAGGATGCCTTCTGCCACTCAAACGCACATCTCTGATACACACACACATGCAGATTAAATGCTGGGGACAATTATGATTACAAAGGAGTAATTCACCCCAAATTAAATCCTATTATTATTTATGCAACCCATATGATTTTTTTTTTTTCCTGTGGAAACTAAAAGGAAAATTAAGTTATCAAGCATATGAATATGAAAGATGGACTATTTTTATGTTATATCTAATAAATCTTCTAAATGTCTTCTTTTGTGGTCTGTAAAGTAGCTGGGTGATTTGTAGTGATTTTTGCTATAATGACTAAGCTGCTTATTTTAAAATTTATTTTACTGAAACTAGGAAGTGTCATTTTAAATTTCTGAATTTGAATGTAAGTATTTAATAGAATTGTTATAACAACAACAATAATAAAATATTTTTGACATTAAAATAATTTAATTCCACAATTCCTGAATTCTTTAGGGTTTACAATTTTAATTACCAAACAATTGTAGTTTCTTTTTTGACTCGCAAATAGCAATTGCCACCTGATCTCCAACCCTGCTCCTGGAGAGCTACTGTCCTGCAGATTTCAGCTCCATCCCCAGTCAAACACACCTTGAGCCACCTAATCAAGGTGTTTAAGGTTACTTAATAATTACATGCAGGTGTATTGGAGCAGGGTTGGAACTAAAATGACCCATCTAATCTGCGGCCTATTATGCGTCAAACTAAGATTGCTGTGGGGACAAAAAGTAATGCCATAAAGTTAGCATTTTTAAACATTCGCTCACTAAAAAATAAATCTTTGGTTATCAATGACTTAATAACCACAAACAACCTATGTTTCTAAACGAAACATGGCTAGAAGACAGCTGCAGTGCAACAGTCCTCAATGAAACAGCCCCTCCTATCTTTACTTTCATGAGTGTTTGCAGGACTGTTAGGAGAGGTGGAGGTGTAGCTGCTCTATTTAAAGATGTCTATCAATGCAAGCAAGTGTCATTTGGTCAGTACTTGTCTTTTGAATATCTAGGGATTGTGTTGAAAGGTACTCCACGCATTCTGTTTATCATTATTTACAGGCCTCCAAAATACTCTCCAGCCTTTGCTGAAGAGTTCACAGAAATGCTATCAATGATTTCCTCAGAGTTTGACTTTTGCTGTTGCAGGGGATTTTAATATTCACATAGATAATGCAGAAAACAAAACTACAAAA